CWKTTTYTTTAATGTAAGTTTGTGACGGGTGTCAGGGGCGGTGCAAGGAGAGGATGTCCGCCAGGAGGCTGGACGCACCGAGTTCGGCCTCCCATCGGCGCAGTGAACCGTACTCAGTGTCATAACATCCTTCACAGGCTTTCCATCTTCATGTGCATGTTTTTTCACTTCGGGGTTTTCAAAATGTTGAAGATTGCAATATCTGCTGTCAGCTACATTGATCTGTGCGTCGGGGCTGACTTTGCGCAGGGCTTACGTCTACCTGCAAACATTGTGTCTGCTCTGCTTGTGACAACGCGTATTCCTGTGGGTCTCTGTCAGGGAAGGAAGTTGAGCTGGATGGGTTTGATGATGATGCACCCAAACTTAGAAGCACTTCAAGGGCGGCGGTTGATGGCCGCTTCTTCCCCCTGAGGAGTTCCGGAGAACAAGACAAAGATGGACTGCTGGCCGAGTGTGAAAGACTCCGCACTGAGCTTGCTCGTAGGTGTGGTCCCCACCACCCTGCTTTTCTTTTTTTTTTTTTTCTTTTTTTTTCAGAACCTCCGGGCTCTGGCTCCTGGCATTCTGGGGAGCGACAGTCCGGTTCCTATTCCCCCGGCAAGTCAAATGGAATACATAATAGACTCACGCACGCTCCTCCCCATTATGGCTGAGAGGCCCGAGTAGGCGGCATTGATTACTTCCCTGAGGAAGGATGTAACACCTCTCACCCCTGCCTAATCTGTGTGTTTCCCGTTTGGCCGAAGGGTCCCTGCACAGCATTGATTGCTACACCGCAGTGGAGGATTGACTGTCAGTTTGCCTTATCCCTCTCTCTCCTCTCAGACCTGTTGTCCCGATCTGCCAAATGACATCATTATTCCTAGAGAGAGACCTGTTTACCTGCCTGGTCCACTCCTTTTCCTTCTTCCTGCCTCCTCATCTTAGCTGCATTCGACCCTAATCTCTGAACTCCCGGTCTGCTCTCCCGCTCCCTCTGGCCGTAGGGTTCTTGGCGAGTGCCAATTGCTCCCTGCAAGCGCGGATAATAACTGTCCGTTTGCCCTGTCCTCCTCTCGCTTCTTGGATCCCTAATCGAGGTCCGCTGTATATCAATCTTACACGTGGTGTGAGCCTTTCTACTGGCCTTCTCATGCTAAGTTCTTCCCTCCCTTCCTTCCTGCCCCCTTATGATAACCGTAGAGTGGTTTTGACCTCTGCCTTCCGCCTGCAGTCCTGACCTTCGGCCATCAGCCCTTTGGGTATTGGGGCCAGCCAAGCTAGCCATTTCTCCCCATTCCTGTGACCCTGGCCTTGAGAAAAGGGCCCACTGGAATTTCCGTAGTCCTGCCGTTGAGCGACCAACTCATCCCCATCTTCACTTGTCCTTCTTCCGTTGTTGTTCATCTTCGGGTCAATCTTGCAGACCAGATCCTTTAAGCCTTCCGAGTCTGATCGGGGGTGTTAGTCAGGAGGAGCAGTTGAAAGGGTTGTTCAGGGAGAGGAGGCGAGAAGAGGTGCTTGGTGAATGTGCGTGAGCCCCCTTAACTTGTCAATCCCAGCTCTGAAACTGTAGGTTTCCTTTCTCTATCTTTGCCATTCTGTTCTCATAGAACCAGATTTCCTCGAACCTCTTCTGTCTTGATTCACGTTTTTCTGGATGTGTTAGCCTCTGTTGTTCTTTTTGTTCTTTCGCCCATCGTGCTCTGATTTCCGTTTGAATCGTGGATTTTATTTCTGCCCATCTTTCCTCCATGCTTGGGAATTGGTTGTCCAGAGTGCCTTTGCATCTTGCTTTCCATATTACCCAAAGGGTCGATCTCCTCCACAGCTCGGCCAAGGGGATTTCCTCTTCTTCCAGGTCAGTGACCTCAGTTCTTCCCGCCAGTAGGTAATTTGTTCCTGAAGGGAATGTACGGCCTGTCACCTTATTCCATCCCTTTTTGGTTCTGCCCCATAGTTCCTGGGCTCGTTGACAGAGTATGAAACAATGTATCAGGGATTCTTCGCTATCTTCATTGCACACTCTACACCATGCTGCTTGAGGTTGGATCTCCCCCTGTCGTCTTCTTTTATTGAGCCATTGGTTGACTGGCACCGCCCAGTAAATTATGAGCCATTGCAAGCTACTGATTCTTGCCGGCCTTATAGTGGCAAACCTGGACCAGGGTATTCTACCTGTCCAGCCTGCGTTTCCTCCTGCGTTTTTCTTCCATCTATCATTGATTACTGGTGAAGGGTCCTTGGTGTTGTTCAATAGCCTGTATCCCGCACTTACCTCATAATTGCACAGAGGGGTAAGTTTTTTGACCCTTCCCCTTCTGTCCGGGACATACCATCCCCATTCAGCTGGGTCCACTTCCAGTTCTTCAATACCTAGTTCGGGTCTGTAGATCCATACCTTCCTCTGTTCCTGTTCAGGCTGTGGGTTTCCTTTATGATAGTTTTTGGGCATACAAGCTCAAACTTTTTTTAGGTTCGTGAGATCCATTATTAACCTTTGCTCTAATATTTTCCCTGGTTTTGCCCAGGTTTTGTGGGTGTCTGTTAGTTCCCAAGATTCGAACTCTGCCTTCCCTTCCCCTACTTCCAGCATTTTGGCCCTGCTGTTGTTTTAGTTTTACCTTTTTTCTTCTTTTTTTATGTGTGTGTTGGTAATGGGGGACCCGGTTTTCAGCAGGTGAAGCTCCCGACCAATAATAGATTGGAGCAGCCCGCCACCGCGATGCTACTGGGGGATGCTCGTATCGCCCCCATTAGCTGATTGGAGGGGTTCTTCTTTAAAAAACCAAGTGGATGCCCGCCGCGGATGTGGTGGGGACCAGGAGCAAAAAAAAAAAAAAAAAACATTGCAATGAGACATTGAGAACGAATCCTCCGCCAGAGCATGGGAAGGTACACTGCAATACTGGTCGGGGCATGCTATGGATGGGGTGCTGGCAGTATTAGTTGGCGCACGCGATACTATGTGGGTTGGGGGGTACCACCCGAGGGGGTTCATAGTATGTATACCGGATCGCATTATGTGGGCTGGCCCCTCACCGCCCCCGGGGAAAAAAAAAAAAAGTCGAGCCCATGTGACCCATGAACTCTTGATAGGCAGACCTGAGTTCGAATCCGAGCAGTGACCAAGGCAACTCAAACCCAAGAAAAGAAAAAAAGAAAGAAAAAGAAAGTACGAAAGCAGCTACACGATGGGAATGAATCTTCTATCACAACATTTAAAGGTGCACCGCCACAATTTGGTTAGTTTCTGCGTGTCTTTCCAGCCAACTAGGCCTGCTATGATATGGCCTTGTATTCAAACATATGCCCAGACATGCCAAGAAGCACGGCACACATAAATCGAGGCCCGACTGCTATGCTATGCGCTTGTATTCGAACATGCCCAGACATGCCGAGAAGGACGACACCCATAAGTAGAGACGGTTCGTTCTCATTTTCGTACATTCGGTGTATCTTCCTGTGTTATAGGGGTTCCCGTTTTGCACCTTGGGTGCCCAGCGGCTCATGAGGATGAGCTCCACTGCCTCGTGCTCCTCGACCGACAAGCATTCCAGGGCATGCAAATCCTGCACAACCCGATCCATCTTGAAGTAAACCTTCGAGATGGTCACTCCTTGCCCATCCACCGTATGGAGAAGCTCCACCACCGGCTGTATCACACCAAGCGCCTTCTGTACATTCCTCCAGAAGTCGCCCTTGTAGCGAGACAAAACGTATCCGCATTCGCCTGAATGAGCCCTGCACATGGTTCCTTTACAACAGCTGCCCCCCAGATAACGACAGAGAAAGCAAAACGAACAGAAAGCTGAAAACCCTGGATTGTATCTTCCAGTGTTCGTTCTACAGGAAGAGATTCGTTCTCATTTTGCACATTTGGTAGTGGAGCGAGGCCCAACATATCGTGCCTTTGCCTGAACGGGCCTCATACCTTATAAAAGAAAAAAATAAAAGCGAAAAAAATGAACGGGCCTCACGTGTATTTTCTTCCGAAGCACCGCAGGTAACAACAAAAAAGGAAACGAGCAGAAAGCCCAAAACCCAATTGTGTCTTCCCACTAACGAAACTGGCCGATTGAGCCCCCTTATGGTCACGTCTGCCAGGTGTGCGCAAAACCACATACAGAAAAAAAGAAAGAAAAACGAAACGAAACAACACGTCTACCAAATGTGTGCCCACACCCTCACCAGCACGAGTCTTCAGCCATAACATGGGAAGATACACCTTCATTCTTTGCTTCTTTTGCGGTGGGGAGTATGGGACCAAAATCTTCAGCGAGAAAACATGGGAAGGTACACGGCCATTCTTTGCTTATTTTGCTCGTGGGGAGTATGGGACCAAGATTGCTATGTACTGGTATTCGGATATGCGCCTAACGCTCCACGCCTACATGCACACAATACGGTGCCACTATGGGGACGACGATATATATCGTCAAATAGAACTGCCTATGATAAGTCGGTGAAACTCCGACGATACAGTTTGTCACAGCCCCTCGTTTGTTGTCCTTTTCTCCCTCTCTGCCTACGGTTTACCGGGCAGTTCTATTTGACGATATATATATATATAT